TATTAAGTTCTATGAAGTTGGTTTTTGTGTTTCCCCCCCCATTTCCATTCTCTACCCTTGCTTTTATCTCCTTGCTCTAGAAAATGTATTTTTTCAGCCCTGTCAGAGAACTAGAGATTCATTGTAGTTGGAATAAGAAACAAATTACATAATATAGTTTGCAGGCTTTGTGTGGTTAGTAACTTCAAAAAAGCTTTGTGTACTAAAGGTGTAACACATTGTCATTACAGTTTATACAATCATTTTGACTACTTTGAGAAGTGGATTGGCCTTTTAAGACTAAAGACCAAGGGCAGTCAGAAAGCTGTTGTAGTAAATTTAGAAAGAATGATTTTGGCTAGAACTGTACAACAGGCACAGCAGTTGAAAAGATAGGCAAATTATATCATAAGGATATAGTGGAGAATTGTTAGTGTTTGGTGATTGAATATACGTTGTGAACTATATCCTGATGCCTGCTCCTAGAACATTGCTGAATAAAGTGTTAGCAAAGGCTAAAACACTGGGACAAAGAAAAAGGGGGCTATGAAATTTAGTAATGGTTAAAAGAATGAGAGATTTCTGTATATTTCACTTGACTATTGAATGGTTGTTGCTTACCTTAGCGCACCATTAATATTTAACCATATCATCAGGTCAAGTGGTGACTGTTTCATACAGTCATCCAGGAATCCAGGTTGGAAGATCTGCCAAGTCTGTTGCCAGAAGTGAGCAAAGAGGGAGGAATGTTATGACACCAGGCCTAGTGATGACACTTAACCACATATACTCCTGTTCTGCTGGAGAGCATTGGTAATGTGGCCACACCTCACTGCAGTGAGGCTGGGAATGTAGGATAGCTGGGCAGCTGCCATAGAAGAAAGGAAGAACAGAGTTTAGAAAACAGCTATCAGTCTCTGCCACAAATGGTGATGCTGTTTGCTGAGACAGGCAACAGGAAGAGAGAAGCAGTTTGCAGCAAAAGGTAATTACTTTTGAATGTGTTATTTTTTAGGTGCTCATAAGATTTGTAAATTTGCATGTGTTATAAGAATAGACAGGTAAGATGATGACAGTATCAATTGGGAAATACTTTTTTTTTTGGTAGCAATGTCATGTTTCAGGAATTTAAAAGTCATTTCCTTAGATGATCAAAAAAGAGTAAAGAAAAAAAAAGTGAAAATGGGAAAAAGGGAATAGTTAACAACCTAAATCGAAAGTATTGATAAATGCTTACTCTGCCAGATCAGGCTGACCTAAGAAATACCTTATAGGTAGGTATTAGAGGTGGAGCTGTTACACACATTAGGTGGTAATGAGGAGAGTTAAAAGAAAGAATTTAAAATACTGTGTGGTACTACGGAGAGTTAGAGGAAAGAATTTAAAATACTAAGTACTACAAAGCAAGTAAGACAAATGGTTGCAAGGAAGCATATGGGTGGTGGTTACACTGGGGTAATTTTCACTAGAGCAATTAGATATCTTTCAGTACTTAAGTTGGAGCAAAGACCTCAGTGATGAGCAAGAAAATTTAATGACAATCTGGCCAAAGAACATCCTAAATAGAAAGTAAAAGGAAGTCAGCTGGTGGACAGCCTGGGAACTAACTTGGAAGAATAAAAGGTCAAGAAGTTTTCCTGGGCCACGTGACAGTGGCTCATACTTAAAGTCCAGGCTACTCTGGAGGCTCAGATTTAGATTTAGTTTGGAGCCACCTTAGGCAGAAATTCCATCTCCAAAATAACCAGCAAAAAGATGGGCTGGAGGCTTAGCTCAAGTGGTAGAGCACCAGCCAAGCAAGTGTGAGGTTGTGAGTTCAAACATTGGTACTTGCTGGAGAGGGGGAAAGGGGTTGTTGAGGGAGAAGGCTGTCAACACAGGGAGACAAATGAGATCCAACCTTTCAGGTTTATCAGCTGAGATGAGTTTAAATTTTGAGTTGCAGAGCAACTCATTGGACCATGTGAAAAGGAGGGTGATATGATATGGTTTAATACTCTAAAAATCACAATGAAGTTTAAAAAACGAAGTGAAAGGTAGGGAGAACCAGGGATTGAGGCATCAAAACCCTGAATACATTGTTTGAGTAGCATAAGTGAAAGTAGTGTCTCAGACTTGAGTTGTAGCTCTTAAAATCATAAAATGTGTGAGCTTTAGGATCTACTTTGTTGATAAGAATGTGGAGAGAAAAAAAAAGAATGTGGAGAGAGAGAAGAATCAAGAATTTCTGGCTAGGTGTGGTGGTACAATCATTACCTGTACATTCAGGCTAAGACACTTATGATCATGAATACAAGGTCAGCCTGGGCTATATAGAGAGACTGTGTCTCAGAAAAAAGAGGGAAAAGGGAGAGAGTAGATAAAAGAAACAAGGCTCTTGAATCCCCTCCCTCGATTGTAGAAGGTAGTAGGTATTAAAAGGAGGCCTGGGATATCTCTTGGGGTTATTACCTGAAGACTCCTTATTTGTCTGAAAAATATTATTTGTGTTATTAGAAAACTAAGCTTCTTAGAGCGTGTTAGGATGTTTTTTTTTGTTTGTTTTTTTGTTTTTTTGTTTTGTAATACTGACTTTGAACTCAGGGGTAAGCAGGTGCTCTACCACTGAGCCACACGTCTAGCAGGTTCTATATCGTTCTATTTTTATTTCTCAGAATGATTTTGTGTGAAGCCTTGTAGGGAAGACCACAACTTTTCTCATTTCCCCTGATCACTCTTCCTAATGACTGGAATAGAAGTAAAGTATTGGAATCTGTCATCAAACAAATACAAAGTCTATGACAAAAATTAATCTTTTGGAAATAATTGGGAAAAACCAGTAATTGGTATGCATTTTTTTGTGTGTGTGTGTGCTGGTCTTGGAGCTTGAACTCAGGGCCTATGTTCTGTTCCTGGGCTTCTTTCTCTTTCTTTCCTTCTTTTCATTTCTTTTCTTGAAGGCTAGTGTTCTACCACTTGAGCTACAATTTAACTTTTGGTGTTTCTGGAGATGAGAGTCTCTTGAGTTTTTCTGCCCTGGCTGGTTTGAACTGTGATCCTCACATCTAAGCCTCGTGAATATATTAAGATTGCAGGCATGAACCACCAGCATGGCTTATATATTTTTCTTTGGTACAATTAGAACTACATTTCATCAAGTTTTGTATTTTCATTTTTAGAATTTGATAAGGCAGTTAATCAGTAAAGCTAGTTTTAACTGCTCAGGATGACATATATTGCCTACAATTTGATTTATAAAATAATTTTATTAAAATATCCCTTTTAAATAAATTCATCTTGAATTTTTAGTTTGTCCATGTTATTTGTCACTTTTATTTTTTAAGTAAAATTATTTGCAGATTTATATTAAATATTTCTTTGAGTTGTTAGCTAGTTAGCTTTATTATGAGTATAAGGTTTGAATGCTGATAGACTCTTGAAATGTCTTGAAAACTCATAAATACATATGGATTTTGTTCTCCAACTAATTTGTATATATCACCTGATGCTTTAGTGCCATGTACAGATGCTGCCTGTGTGCTGTGTAGGGGTTCATATTGGTGGGAGTGGGGAAGCTGACATTCAGTGAAATACAAAATAGGAAATAATGTGAAAATAAACTTTTGAGACTAGAAATTAGTCTTTACCGAGATGGATCTTTCCTGTTTGTGGAAGGGTTACAGTATTTCAGTGAGGAAAAGTCAGGGAGGAATTTAAAAGGAGTTAAGGCACAAAAGATACCAACATTTTAAAAGAATGACTAAATCTACCTTAACTAAATTTGAGCTTAAACATTTTTCATTGTGTGAAGATAAGTGATACCAGTAAACAAAAATCATTAAGGCTACAGATAATGTAAATTTGCTATTAAAATAAACATCTTTTAATCTATCCTCTTTATTTTCTGTTTGTGCTAAAGAGAACATTTTTCTGTCTATGGAACATGTAATAATGCCCTGTTTGTGGTAATATTGTTCTGCTCAGGTTGATTGTTTGTGACTCTAATGCTTAAATTATTGGGAGATATTTGGACAGAGCAGATCAGACAGCTTCCCCTGTCTGGAACTTCAGATCTATAGTTGGTAAGAGGGAATTGTTGGTAAGAGGAAATCCTTTTCCTTTGTCCCCAAACTGATGTGGATCCAAGCTGATATCAAATAAATGGGTGGCAACACTGCTTTTCTGAAAGATTTCCTATGATATTTCTTTTGAGTTCTTGTGATTTAGAAGGCATTTAGAAAAAATGAGATTTAGAATTAGTTTGAAGATACCTGGTTACACTGAATTGAATTGTATACTTTTACCACAGGTCAGTTGCAGGACCTCCTCAGATTTCCTAGGACTCACTTAATTGGTATAAACCAGGTAGAATGTGGCCATTCTCTGAGATTTAAAAATATTTAGCTGGCAATTTTGTATTGTAATGGTTAAACTTGATTATATGACTTGGCTAGTATTTCTTCTATAGCAAATAAAGCAGTATGGACTCTTTTTAAAGGGACAAACAAGTTATCTGATAAAGTACTATGCCTATTCTAGTGGTTCTTTGGATAATAGACTTCGATAGACTGCATTTCTTTGCTTTCTATTTGTAAACCAGAATGCATCAAAATTAATGAAATGCTGCTAAATGATATGTTCTGTTAGAATTTTTGTTTCAAAGACATTTATTTATTTATTTATTTATTGTGCCAGTAGTAGAGCTTGAACTCAAGGCTTTGGCACTGTCCTTTAGCTTTTTCTCTCAAGGCTGGCACTCTGCTTCTTGCGGAATATCACTAGTTGTAGCTTTGTGTGGTGATTAATTGGAATTAAGACTCTCGCAGATTTACATTTTTTTTTATTGTTGTTATAAAGGTGATGTACAGAGGGGTTACAATTACATAAGTCAGGTAAAGAGTACATTTCTGTTTGGACAATGTCATCCCTTCCCTTGTATTCTCCCCCACAGACTTTTCTAAGACAGTTTCATATTTTCCAAGAGAATATCATTTTGCAACAAATGCTAACTCTCTAAAGAGAATGCTGTTTGTGTTTTTTAGCCGGCCATATACTAACAAAGTCATTACTCTATGGTACCGTCCACCTGAACTGCTCTTGGGAGAAGAACGATATACACCAGCTATTGATGTATGGAGCTGTGGGTAAGATAGGGTTACTGATGGTTTATTTCACTTAAAACTTTTGGTGGGGAGTTAAAATCAGGATATTGGTAATGATATATGTATTTTTTCATTAGATGTATCCTTGGTGAGCTCTTCACTAAAAAACCCATATTTCAAGCAAATCAGGAACTTGCACAACTAGAATTAATAAGGTAAGTTAATAATGATTGTGTTTGTAGGGCTGGGGTTTTCATAATCCATAGGAAGGTAAAAAATTTTCAAGCTTGTCTTTTCAGAAGAGCTGTTTCTCGGGGCTGGGAAGGTGGCTTAGTGGTAGAGCGCTTGCCTTGCATGCATGAGGCCCTGGGTTCGATTCCCCAGCACCACATAAGCAAAACAAAAAAAAAAAGCTGGAAGTGGCGCTGTGGCTCAAGTGGTAGAGCACTAGCCTTGAGCTGAAGAGCTGAGGGACAGCGCCCAGGCCCAGAGTTCAGGCCCATGACTGGACCCCCCCCCCCAAAAAAAAAAAAAAAAGAGCTATTTCTCTTGAAGTGTAATGATTTCTAAATGGAGGATGAATGAAAATTCAAACCCTTCCATACTTCTAGTAAAATTAAGTCTCTAGAATCCCACCCCCAGGAGATTAAATCGAAGTACTTAAGTCCCTAAATATAGGTATGAAAGAAAAGAGTAAATATGAAGCAGAAAATATGAATCGTTCTTTAAAGACATGACATAAAAGAAAAATTAGTCTTATGTGCATAAAACATGAATGCAATGTTAAATACACCACAGAGAATTAGTAACTCTCAACAATTATCATCTCCGTCTACTCATTTCTCAAAGTCAAAAGATTCAGGCAGCACAATCTGTGATGGTAGATTACCCTAGATGTCTCTGAAAGCTGATCTTGACAAGGACAGCCATTCAAAAATATGCTCAGTGTGCATTGTTGCAGAGTCCCTACTGTTAAAATACAGTGAGGCAGGAAAAGAGCTGGTGTAAGGACGTTGCAGAAGACACAAGCCAGTGATCTTTGGGATGTTAATGTGGCACTAGCACTGTTCATGTATGGCGGGTGTCATAGAACCTAGCAGTTACTCATATGTATTATTTGCTTATATGTTTCCAGTTTTTAAATAATAAAAAATTTTAAGGGGGTTTGGTATTAAAGACAACAGTGTAAATTTTCAGCTTATAAGATGAAAGTTTCAAAATAACAGTAAAGTTATTTAGGAAAGATGTTGGATAGGAAATACTTTCTTTTCTTTTTCTTTTTTTTTTTTTTTTGGTATTCAGGTAGGGGGTAGGTAGGTATTCAGTAGACCTGCTGGGACCAGGCAAGGTTGGCACTCCACGTGGCTGGGAAAGGCCTAGGAAAGAGAGAGAGCTGGGAAAGAGAGGAAAGAGCTAGAAAAGAGCAGAGAGAGCAGAGAGATAGAGAGCTAGAAAAGAGCAGCGAGAGAAAGCCTCTGGGCCTGGGCTAGGCCTTTACTTTCCTTTCTTTAATTGAACAAAATGAATGTAAAGCAACAAATAGTAAGAGAAGGATCCCCAATTTTTCATCTGATTAAATTTGAAAACTATAACTCAGAAACAGAAAACTTCAGTCAAAAAGAAGATCTCAGCCGGGCGCTGGTGGCTCACGCCTGTAATCCTAGCTACTCAGGAGGCTGAGATCTGAGGATCGCGGTTCAAAGCCAGCCCGGGAAGGAAAGACCGTGAAACTCTTATCTCCAATAAACCACTAGAAAACGGAAGTGGTGCTGAGGCTCAAGTGGTAGGGCGCTTGCCTTGAGCTGAAGAGCACAAGGACAGCGCTCAAGCCCAGAGTTCAAGCCCCACGACCGACCCAAAAAAAAAAAAAAAAAAGATCCCAATAAGAGAGAGATTGGTAGAAAATCTTCCTGCACCCCATTTTTATGTTTTGGGTAAGATTTGTTTTACTATAGGGTACAGCAGAGAAAGATAAGTTAGAGATTATTTCTTCTCTAGATATATCGTGGCTAGCCTGGTAATATTCAAGCTAGAAACTAGCATGATTTCTTGAACTGTGGTACCAGAGCATGGGCTCCCACTTACCTGGGGCTTCTTTTACACCAGTGCAGCTAGTTGCCTTACCTACAATTGAAGCATATGTCCCAGACATGGCTGAGGGGAGTTGAAACACAATATTTTAATAAAATGGCCAAGAGAGAAGTATCTCAGTTGCTTTAAAAAAAAAAAAATTTTTTTTTGTGGTACTATTTAGGATCTCTAGCTTGCTGGTCTGGTGCTCTACCTTTTGAGTAAAAACTGCAGACCTGCTTTTTGCTGGTTATTTTGGAGGTGGAGTCTAGCAAACTTTTCTGTTTAGGGTGGTCTTGAACTGTAATCCTCTATATCTCAGCCTTCTAAGTAGTAAGATTATAGGTGTGATCCATTGGTGCCTGGCCCAGTACTATTTTTTGGATGTTACTATCTGGATACCTCAGACTGGACAATCTGTAAAGAAGATAATATTCAGCTCATGGTTCTCTGAAGGCCAAAAGTTGCATCTGGTGGAGGCTTTTATTGATCAGGAGACTCGGAAGTCCTAATGTGCCACAGGAAGAGGAAGCCTAAGTTAGCCAAAGAGAACTGGCTCTTATAATAAAGCCCTCTCTTGATAATTCATCTGTCTATGAAGCCCTCGTGATCCTCCCACCTCCTAGAAGTCCCACCTCTCAAATATCATTAATATTTGACTCAGGATTAAAAATTTAGAGGATGCTTTCAAGCTAAGGTGCAGAGGAGGAGAGCTAACTGTAAATACTCGCAACTGTTATCTTTTGTTATTATGTGGCAGAGAAGTAATGAAGAATCAAGATGAACTGGGCAATCTAAGATAATAAGTGTACTTTTGAAAGTTAAATTGAACATTTACAAAAGGAAAATGAGAATAAACTCCAAAACAATGGAATAGTACAGCCTACGTCCTCTAAATAAAATAAAACTAGAATATAAAAATGGAAACTAGACTGAGAGGCAAGTGGCTCATGTCCATAATCCTAGCTGCTTAGTAGGCTGAGATGTAAGTATTGCAGTTCGACACCAGCCTGAGCAAGAAAGTGTGTGAGATGCATCTCCAGCTAACCACCAAAAAATCAGAAGTGGAGCTGTGGCTAAAAAAGTGGCAATGCCTTGTGCAAAAAAAGCTCAGGGACAGCTCCCAGGCATTGAGTTCAAGGTCTATGATCAGCACAAAACAAGGAACAGTCTCTTAAATATCAAAAAATTTAAAATGCATTAAAAAAGAGTAATAGCCAGGCACTGATGGCTCATGCCTGTAAATCATAGCTACTCAACAGGCTGAGATTTGAGCATCTTGTTCAGAGTCAGCCTGGGCAAGAAAGCCCGTGAGACTCTTATCTCCAATTAACCACCAGAAAGCCAGAAGTGGAGCTGTTGCCTAAGTGGTAGAGAGCTAGCCTTGAGCAAAAACCTCAGATAGTGTGCAGGTCCTGAGTTTAAGCCACAGGACTGGCACCAAAAAAGAGAAAAAAGAAAGGAGTAATAGATAAGTTCTGTTAGTTCATGGGTTAAACCTGTGCTTAGTTTTAAATATAGTAATGACATTTCAGTCATCTGTGCTCCACATTTTTGATGATGGATCATAAGATTATATTGGAGCTAAAGCATTTCTGTCATCTCGTGATGACATCATAGGTATGCTATAGTGCAAAGAGTATTCATGTTTGTAGTGTTCCCAAATGAGCCTACTGTGATGCCAGACACATATACATACAATTAGGTAAGTACATAATACTTGAGAATAATAGCTACTTGGCTGGTTTAAATACTTTTTATTATTTTACTGTGTATTACTTGTACTTACTAGAACAAAGTTAACTGTAAGGCAGTATACTGTGTTTCATGGGAAACTTTATTATATCTGTGTACTACCTCTTGGTTACATAGAGTCCACATTAGCTGATAACATCTAGGCTGTGCCATCTAGCTTTGTATAAATGAATTCTATGATAATTATACCAACAGAGTCAACTAATGGTGTAGGTCTCAGAACATATCCAAGTTTTAGTCTTTGGTTTACTTACATGAACAGTATAAATATAAATATAGTAGTTTAATGTGAAAGGACTATAAAGAAACAAAATAATACTGGAAGGGTGACTGATCAAGAAGCATTGGACAGATAAATAAAATTGTGACCTACCATCATTTGAAAATTAAAAAAAAAATGAAAATTAGATAGAAATAAACCTCAGCTATAAAGAAAGTAAAATTTGTGAGATCACGATTCCCCTAAATTGACCCTAGAACAGTTGGAAAACCCAAGCATATAGTGCTAAACCATCATTCAAAGAATAGGGTGTCAACATTTTCAGATAAATTCTTACAAATTGTGCAGAAATCAATAACTGTAACATTCTTTCAACTATTTCATAACAATGCAGTTAGAATGAAGCTTATCCAAATTTGAGTTGAATAGACTTTAATTAATGTTCTCCAGTTCCTCTGTAAGTAAAGGCTAGCTGATAAGACATATCTATTCTATTAGATTAAGAGTTTGATGACCTTTAAAAGAGGTAGATACTTTCCAGTTTTTTCCCAACTTGATTTAGATGCAGTTCTTTGCAAAAATCTTAAAATGTTGCTGTATAATTAAGGGTGAGTAAATAATGTATAAGAAGAAAGGAAAACAAAAACCTAGAGGAATTTAGTATACTGATTGCATAGAAAATGTTTTTAATTTCTGACTTTATTGAAAGAACTGAAACCAAAAGACTTTGATACTGTCTTATGGGTATGGCTTATGCAAAACCACTAATGCAGAATTCCACTCAGTGACTCTTCTGTTCAAGACAAAGCCACATGTCAGAAGATTAGAGAATGTACATTTATAAAATTTCCCTTAAAATAAAGTACTTAAATTATGTGTGTGTATTTATTTTTTTCTATTCTGTGTGGTCCATTTTTCTCTTAAGCTGTAATTGGCCCTTATACTGTTGCATATTAGAGCCTCTCTATCAGACATGGAGCTTATATACAAAGCAAGCTTTGTTCTAAGAGTTTCACCTTAAACTCCTAGGTTAAACTTCATAACAACCTAATGTCTTCTCTTTATACTTAAGAAAAACCAAATCTTACAGAGGTGAAGAATTTATGCAGGGTCATCCAACTAGCCAGTGGCAAAGTGGAGATGTGAGTCAAGTATTACTTTGTACTATTT